CAGTGCCTTTCCTGCTATGTGTGCTGGTCCTCACGCTTTTGCAAGTAAGTAACCTCTTGTGAGGAAACTGTGTCGAAAGCCTTCTTGCAGTCCAAAATACGCAGTCCGATCCACCCTCTCCTCTCTTGTCTTACCTTCTCGTCTCCTTGTCATAAAACACTAGTAGGTTTGTGACACAGGATTTTCCCTTCATTGAAACCTGTGTGGTTGTCAATTTACACTTGTTTCATTCCAGGTGCCCCACCACTCTTCCTCCTGATGATCTTCTCAATGACCTGCATACTATACACGTTAAGTGAGACTGGTTGTAGTTTTATTGCTCATATGTCTGTCTCCTTTTTAAAAAATTGGGACTACGTTGCCATTTTTCCAGACCTCAGGGAGTTGCCAGTTTCAAATGCTGTGTTGAAGATCTTTGGTAATGGCTCACACAATATCTCTGATCCCTCTTTTAGGGCACCATGGGAGGTATGTTGTCTGGTCCCACCGCCTTTGAGGTGTCAAGTTGCATTAGCAGCTTCTTCACCGCCTCCTTGGTTATTTGTACCTCATCCAGCACTTGCTGGTGTGCCCCCTGTTCTGATTTCCTTGGAGTCCTACAGGGTTCACTGTAAATACCTCTTTAATCTTATGTTGAGCTCCTGACATACCACTCAGTCGGTTCTTGTGAATTCCCCATCACCCTTCTCAGTTGATTCCCTGGTCCTTGACTGTTTGTTTTCTATCCTGATGTGGCTGAACAACAGCTTCGGAGTAGTCTTTACTTTTGATGCTAGTCATTTTCATAATGTCTCTGAGCCTCCCTTCTTATCTGTTGCATATTCGTTTCTGGCTTTCGGCTGAATTTCTTTATTTTCTGAGTTCTCTCGTCTTCTGTACCTTTGCCATTCTCTGTACCCTAGTTTTTGCCTCCTACACCTTTGGTTGAACCAAGGACACGTTGTTCTTCCCATTATTTCTGTTCCCTTGGGAACAAACCTCTCCTCTGCCTCCTTGTATTTTGTTGCTACAGAGTCCATCATTTCTTGTATGGTTTCTGTCAGTCCCCTTCCCACTGAATGTCTTGAAGAGTTCCTCATTGGCATGAGTAGTTCCCTTTTGTAGTTTGGTTTTTCCCAGCCTATTCCTGCTTACTCTCTACACTTGGAGCTCAACTATGTAGTCGAAGCACAGAACCACATGCGATCCCTAGCTCCCAGGGGCCTTTCATACATGATCCCTCGATGTCGAACTACTCATGGTGAATACATAGGTCAACCTTGCTGGGTCATTCCTCTCCTCTCTCTCTGGTAGTGTCTCTAACATGTTGATGCATGAGGGTTCTCTTACAGTTCCCATCCATCATCTTGGCTTCCATGTTTTGGGACCCCCATGGGGCGGCTCCAGGTTTTCCAGTCCAATCTCCTTGTGATTGAAATCACCCGATAACTAGTAACTTTGTCCCCCCATGTGTGCTCTTCCTGGCCACCTCGGATAGTGTGTTGATCATTGCTCTGTTGCTCTCTCGTATTCTTCTCTTGGCCTCCTGCAGTTCTGTGGTGGGTTGTACATTTACTGCAATTATCACTTATGTACCTCAGACTGGGATTGGTTCCTACTAAGTAGTCACTTTCGCCCTGCCATCCATTCCTTCCATTTCTCAAATCCCACTGGTTTTTAATGAGCAGTGCAACTCCTCCTCCCCCTCTCCTCCCTCTGTCTTTCCTGAAGATTTGATTATCCGGATGGAAAGATTGAATTGTTATTAGTCTGGGGTTTTGTTTCTGTGAGTTGCTATTATGGCTGGGGATGTCCTCTTTGTTTTTTTAATTCTTTCGTGCCACTTCCTCATACTTGTTTTGTTATTCCCATCTGCTTTTGTATACCACACCTTCATCTTCTTTTCTAAGGGACTGTGGTCTGAGGAAGTATATTGGGGTTGGGGAAGGGGGAGACTGGGAAGTAACTATGGGTTGTTGCTGTGTGGGTGAGTTTGTAATGTAGTGGGTGGGGGGCATTGGATGTGGCTGGGTGTTTTGTTTAGAGTGTTTGGTTGCACGGGGGTTGACCTGGTTGGGGGCTTCTATAGAAAGGTGTGAGGGAGGCTGTTTTAAGATCTTCTTCCTGGGGTGGGTTCTCCTGGCTGTCTTCTCCTCCCCCTCTTTCCTCCTTCGCCTTTGTACCATCTCTCTCAGTTTCTTCCTTTCTTCTTGTGTTCTGTCGCGGGTCGAGATACCACCCTCCTGTATGCAGTCATCGTGTCCCTTAATCGTGCTTTCTCCTTGCATATCCTGGTCGAGTCGTTCTGCCTTGATGGGTAACTCTCACTGGCTGGGTTCTTTTTTTTACAAAACCCCCTATTCTCGAAATTTTCCCAGCCTGGGTCATATCGTCTTCTCCTATTGCTTTCATGAGTTACTTTCAATTGCTTTTCTTTCCCCTTGTTTCTTGCTTCATATGTTTCCCTTCGACTTCCTGGAGCCCATCACAAAGACTGACCTCACCTTTCATGTCTACCACTGCATAATCCCTGTGTACCCCTCATTTAATCTGGTATCCTCCACTGCAGCTTTCCTTTATCGTTTTCCACTGGCTATTGTACTTGGGGCGCAGTGGCCTGTATTTTTACCCTTATCGGCTTTCCTTGGGCTCTGTTGTTGTCTGTTAGGGCTCCACATAAAAGTTAGCTCTTTATTTGCTACAGTCTCCCTCTGATAGCGCATCTCCATGCAGTTGTGCCCCCTTCTTTCACTACAGTCCACTTATTTAGTGGCTGAGGGTCGCAGTCTCTGTTGGTCAATCCCAAAATGTTTAGTTCTTTAGGCTGTTCAGATTTTTCAATTCATCTTCTAAACTGCTGTATCTAGATTCTGCTGCTTTGACATGCACCTCCCCACTTCCTGCTTTCCATATCTATCGTTTCTTCCATTCTCATGCTAAGTTCTTTAGTTTCTTTTCCCATTCATGATCCCTTTTATAAGCCTGCTGCCCAATCTTCTCTTGGCATTTTCCTCCTCCTGTCCCTATTGGTTTTTCTTGTTGCTCTCTGCAGCAACCCATTTTTGTTTATCCTGATTGCCACAGAGTGGGAAACTATGTAGTTCTGTTATGTTAGGTTAGTAGTGTGTGTGTCAGAGTGTGGGGGGGGGGAAGTAGTGGGGAAAATGTGGCTCTTTGGGGTGCTGAGTGGGGAGGGGGCGGTAGGGGAGGGTTTGGGGGTGAACGGGGAAGGGGAGGGTGGTCGAGGGAGGGGATGGAGCAGGGGAACGTAGTGAGAGATATTGGTGGGTGAGGGGGAGTGTATGTGTGTCTGGATATGTGTACTCACCTAATTGTACCTCCACTTATTGTGGATTGCAGGGGTCGAGACTCAGCTCTGGGCCCCGCCTCTGCTGTGTGTGTGTGTGTTGTGTGGTCTGTGTGTGCTGTGTGTGTGTCGTGAGATGTTGTAATTTTGTTGTTAATTGTGTGAGGAATTATGTGTGGGTTTATTATGTACTGAAAGGTAGGTGGCTTGTGAGTTTAAGGTAAGTCTCAGTGGTTCCTTGGCTGCCCACACCTACTTGTGACCTGAGACCCCAACCTCCTGGGACTTACCGCACTTACAGTGTGTGTGTGTGTGTTGTGTGTGTGTAGTGTGTCGGTGTGTGTGTGTGTGTGTGTGTGTGTGTGTATGTGGGGGTGTGTGTGTGTGTGTGTTTGGTGTGTGTGTGTGTCGTGTGTGTGTGTGTGTGGTATGTATTGTGGGTGTTGTGTGTGTGTGTGTGTGAGTGTGTGTTGTTGTGTGTGTGTGGGTATTTGTGTGTGTTGTGCTGTATATATGTGTCGAAATTATGTGTGGGTTATTATGTGGTCTGAAAAGTAGGTGGCTTTTGCTCTGGAAGTGTAATGTAGAATCTCAGTTGTCGCTTGTGTCCAAAAACCTCTTGTGACCTGACTCCACCCTTTGCAGTGGTGCCTATATCACTGCTTAGAGTGAGTTAATCGCCTTGTTCAATGGATTACATTTGCTAAACTTATTGAAACTTGAGTGCCTATTTCTTTATCGTGCTATGAGAGTTAGACCATTAAATTCAGCTTGGCGGTTAATTGGAACCTGGGACCCCAAACCCAAACAACCACTCATAGGTGATACAGTATTGTAGTGCAGCTGTAGAGTGTAGATTGTCCAGGTCGATGTGACGTCCTGAGTAGATCCAGCTCGATAGTACGTCCTGTCCTGGCGTAGATCACCTCAATTTCATTCTCGTTATTAGTGTACCCTATTCATGTAATTTCTTTCCTGGTCCAACTATTGTTTCAACTGTATTTAAAATCTTGGGTGACACCTTGGCAACGCTGCCTTCACACTAGCCTGCGCCACGACGCTTTTATTTTCCAGATCACTTTCAAATTGGTGGGCTCTCCCATTGTGTCGGTAGGCAATTAAAAAAAAACACTTCTAGGATTGGATGACTACCCTGACACACTTAGCTACCCTTGCAGAACACTAGTAGCCTCAAAAAACACTTAAATACCCGGAGCACCGACGGCGCCGTGAATAGCCGCTCGCTGTCCTTCTGGACTGTGTGTGTGTGTGTGTGGTGTGTGTGTGTGTGTGTGTGTCTGTTTCTCTAAACATTCTTGATGATAAAACTGTGCAACTCTGAGCGTCAATACTGTGGAAATGTTTTGCCAGCCAGTGGTTTCATCGGTCCTATGCAGAGGAGAATGTTAGAAGATACGGAATGCATTTGAGGTTATCAGTTCACTCAATGAAGATACCCAAATGTTTTGCAATGCGTTCTTAATCATCAACTCTCGGCTTCTTTGTTAAACATTTTTTACTAAAAATTCATATAAATGACTTTACAATATCTTGCTTCGCATTCGCATTGCACTGCAGACAGCGGATCATCGAGTGCGGCAGGAAGACTATGTTACTTATTAGTGAAGGCATTGGCCCACCTTGTGAGAGTTTGAGAGGTGAACCATGGCAGACCAGCTGGCCCATCAATCCACACTGATCTCACCTCATCATGGGTTTTGGCTGCCACTAACAACTGCCCCCTGACAGCTTCCTTCCTGAGGCAGGCAGGAGGCAAGGCCTTCCTGCAAGACCAGTTTGGTAAAACTCCCTTACACGCAGCACTGGACACTTACAACTGGAATCTTGCCACGTTGATGGTAAAGAACATAGGAGCGTGTATGTACATCCCTGACTCCTCAGGCAGACTGCCTGTTGATATGTTGCCCTCACAACACAGAAATCAGCTGGAATTGGTAAGATATTGATAATAATAATATTTTTTTTACTACTAGTACATGTAAAAGTTATACAGACCATAGCTGACATCAATGACATACTACTATATAGAAATTCGGTTGTTATGCAGAGCATTTCGGGCAAATTAGGTCAGTTTTGTCCCAGGATGCAACCCACACCAGTCCACTAACATCCAGGTATCCAGTTAACTGACGGGTGAACGTAGATAATCAGTGTAAAAAAAAAATACGTCCAATGTTTCCACACCTTCGCCGGGAATCGAACCCGGACCCTCACCATGTGAAGTGAGAGCTTTTGCCATCAGGCCACGGGGCACCTTTTCTGGAAGCTACATTGTCTAATTTAATCCTAGTATACATATACATTTCCTTCCTAATTAACAGAGATGTATTCAATTATATTTTTAATCAATTCCAGGACATCTTCCGTCAAGAAAGGCAACAGTTAGAAGAGTTAGTTGAGAAAGCTAAGGATAAAGAAGATATGGACCAGCTACAAGAAGTTCTGGATGAGTTTGATTCTCTATTCACAAGATACTGTGCAAATCCTGCTATTGCCAAAACTCGGCTACCTTCAACAGCATCTCCACAAGAACATGCTATTCATGCCTACGGTCTTCTTGTGTCTTGCCGACGAGGACTATTACAGCTGGCATACCTTCTGGTCACAGTGGGTGGCCTTAATGTTGACACTGTGCTTGATGGAACACACGACTCTACCGGCCTTCACGAAGCTGCTTCCCATGGTAACTCTGGTTGCTTGGTTTTGCTGCTCAGTCTGGGTGCATCTGCTATAAAACAAGACCGTTATAAACATACACCAGCCCACTTTGCTGCCATGTTTGGTCATAACACAACTTATCAGCAGTTAGAGGTGTTCATGAGGAAGCATCAGCCTGTGAGCAAAGCAGGAACAACACCTACGGACATAGTATTTAATTTTAAAGAATATTTACATCGTTATTTGAAGACGGATATCGATTCGGGCGAAACATTTGTTTTCAATCAACCGTCTGAAGCCATTAAAAAACTCCTAAATTTGACCAATATTAGAGATCTAACAAGACAACTGGATGATATCAGAGTTGACTTTTGTAAAGGCGAAGCTAAGCAAGTTAAAGATGGCGTTATTAAAGAGGTTCAGAATATTTTGGATGAAGTGAGTTCTATTGATAAGCTTTATGAAGGTGAACTTATCACTGTAGGGAGTTCGTCAGATGGAACCCGTCTGTATGCACCAGATGAGTATGACTTAAGTGTTGTGCTATCAAACGTTCCAGAAATCAGAATAGAGATTATCGAGCAGGATGCACACCAGACAGCTCTGAGTGGACACAGGCTAAGACTTCGTGTCAAGACAGATCACCCCAGCCTGCATGGGAAGAATTTAATAAATAACTTCTATGAATTAGTGAGGAGCTGTCTTGAGAAGCATACGATCAAGTGTAGTCATCTTAGTTTGGTACCTCCAGGTGTAACAAGAACTCAGGTAGGCATTGCAATAGCCTTTGCTTGGCAGGGCAAGGAGTATCCTCTTCTGTTGATTGGTATAGACTTAGTTCCTGTGTTGGCTGTGCCATGGCCAGCAGAGGTGAGTAGGCCTCCACTCACTCCTGAAAGCATCAATCAGGTGTACCTTAGTAACACAGCTGACGGGGAGTGGAGGTGTAGTTTTGCCGGTGCTGAGGCAGAGGTCCTGAAACAACTAGACTCACAGGAACGCCGTGTTTATCTGGCCTGCAAAACTCTTCTCTCTTACCTGAAGGCTGACCCTTGGATGCCCCGGGAAGTAAAGGCCAACTACACATGGTGGGACTCAAGGAAGTGGAAAATCATGATTCCTGCTGGATTTGCAATGAAGAACAGCTTTCTAAATCAACTTCAACGAAAACGTGAGGAAAAAAATAAATGGCGAGATGAAGACCTCATCCAGATAATCATCACTATCTTAAGAGACATGTGCCAAGACTTTTGTGATCCAACAAATAAAATAGAATCTTTAGTACCAGCCAAGATACATGCCTATTTTGGCGGTGAGTTTGAGAAACCCAAGACAGGAGAAGGTGCTCCTGAGATTATTAAAATCCTCAGAGAACTTGAAAAACCACAGAACAAACCTGAAAACGAATCCTGGAGCTGGTGTTCTCTACTATAAAATTTCGCTGTATAGCCCTTGTGGCTTAGCGCTTCTTTTTGATTATAATAATAATAATACTATAAAATTTAATTATCAAATGTATAGTATGTTATACATACGACTTATCATAATGTTTATGTCTATGTTACAAGAAAATTTTTTGTGTTAACTGTATATATTTTTAACTTACTGCAGAGTCTAAAATTAAACAGCCTAAATATTGAAAAATAATTTTGATATTGAAATGCCTTTTTTTTTTTTTGGTCAGATGGAGATAAATATGAATGAGTATATGTAAGAGACTATATATATTTCTGAGAAAGTAGGTGAGTGTCTCAAGACTCTTATGTCTTTAATTATATATAAAACATAAAATTCAGTTCTTTTACTGGAAATAATTTGATTTAATTTGCTGTTTTATTTTCCACTGGGAAACAAACTTTATTTTCAATGGTGTCTCACAATAAAGGGCAAATTCAACTATTCAGTTACTGTAAATATTTTTATTTAGTGGACTAGAAAGATAACAAAAGGGGAGTAAATGTCTAAAGCCAAGAGAAGAGATTAATAAGACCGGGTGATTATCAGCACTTGACTCAGTTTCTCGTATCATTCATCTTAATGTTACAGAACGTGCAGCATCACTTTACATCCATAGGTTAGTCAACAACAATAATCTGTATTCACCAATTTGCAACACAGTTCTGTCCATACTGACACTGAACAGACTGAGAGTCAAAGACCTAAATGAATTTTTTATGAGACAGAATTTGGTAGATACACACCTACCTGATATTATCCTGATGCCAAATGACTTCGAAAAGGCGATGAATAACATGCCCATGCACTCTGCCCCAGGCCCAGACTCGTGGAACTTCGTGTTCATCAAGAACTGCAAGAAGCCCCTATCACGTGCTTTTAACATCCTGTGGAGAGGGAGTTTTAGTTAGTTTAATATGTTTATTATGCACCCCATACCCATCCTGTGGGCGGTAGTCAAAAGATTACAGAGGTACATAATGGGTCCAGTGACTTGACCCCAAAGTTATGATAGCTGAACTAGTTACAAAGGTAATGAACTCCAGGTAGATCTGGTCACAATCATGGCAAGTTACAAAGGTAATGAATCAGCCTCACTCCTATACATGGTTAATTACAAAGTAATGAGCCACTGATATGTCCACACCCGGTCACAATTTTAACGAGCTATAAATACAAATATTAAGTGGGTCATACACCCACACGAGTGTGCGCGCACACACACACGTGGTAATACTTTATTTACAGCTAGCTAGTTTTAACATCCTGTGGAGAGGGAGCATGGACACTGGGGTCGTCCCACAGTTACTAAAAACAACAGACATAGCCCAACTCCATAAAGGGGGCAGTAAAGCAATAGCAAAGAACTACAGACCGATAGTGCTAACATCCCATATTATAAAAATCCATGGCAGCATGGGTTTAGAACAGGTCTCTCCTATCTGTCCCAACTACTGAACCACTATGACAAGGTCCTGGATACTCTAGAAGACAAACAGAATGCAGATGTAATATACACAGACCTTGCAAAAGCCTTTGACAAGTGTGACTATGGCGTAATAGCACACAAAATGTGATACAGTAAAAGTCAGTAAAATGAATCTATAATTTCCCAGCAGAACACAAAGAGTAGTAGTCAACAGAGGAGAGTCTGAGGCGGTTACAGAGAAAAGCTCTGTTCCACAAGGCACAGTACTTGCCCCCATCCTGTTCCTCATCCTCATATCAGACATAGACAGGGATATAAGCCACATTGCAGTATCTTCCTTTGCAATGACACCCAAATTTGCATGACTCCAGGCGGACATCAACCAAATCTTTAAATGGGCTGCAGAAAAACAATATGAAGTTCAATGATGATAAATTCCAATTACTCTGATATGGAAAAACGTGAGGAAATTAAAATTCATCAGAGTATAAAACAAATTCCAACTACACAAGAGAGTAAAAAACAAACGTCAAAGACCTGGGAGTGATCATGTCGGAGGATCTCACCTTCAAGGACCATAACATTGTATCAATCGCATCTGCTAGAAAAATGACAAGATGGATAATGAGAACCTTCAACACCAGGGACAGCACCATCACAGCACTCATAAACCGCGATAAACCAACCTCAAATTACTGGGATTGTTTTGAAGTTCCTAAACCTGTACTCCCTGGGGATGCAGGAGGGTAGAGATACATGATTATATAAACCTGGAAAATCCTAGAGGAACTAGTACCAAACTTGCACACGAAAATCACTCCCTATGAAAGCAAAAGACTCGGCAAATGGTATAACATCCCCCCAATGAAAAACAGAGGTGCCACTAGCAAGAGACAACACAATAAGTGTCAGGGGTCCAAGACTGTTCAACTGCCTCCCAGCATACATCAGGGGGATTACCAAAAGACCCCTGGCTGTCTTCAAGGAGGCACTGGACAGGCACCTAGAGTCAGTACTGACCAGCCGGGTTGTGGTTCATACATTGCATTACATGCTGCCAGCAGTAACAGCCTGGTTAATCAGGCCCTGATCCACCATGAGACAGGGCCGCCGTGGAGGCACTGACCCCCAGAACTCTGTCCAGGTATACATTCAATTCAATTCAAGTTTATTCTCTATAAGGGTTACAATGTGGGGTTTACAGATTTTGAGTATTGTGTGGTTTACATGTTATAAAATACTAATCACAGAGGGGGCCACTAGGACACCTAGCATGGCTACGCATTTCGGGCAGACTTAGATTAATTCTTAACATTAAATCCTTACAGATTATAGTATTAAGGCTAAGTGACTATATCATAATTTATGAGTTTAGCAATGTGATACTTTTTTTGTTATGTGTTGGATATGGGTGCTGAAATTTAGGTTGTTGTCGAGGTATAGGCTAAGGGAATTTGCCCTCATTATGTCTGGCAATTAGAGTGTTGTTGATCTTAATGTTAAGTTGCGCAACACCTGCTCTGCTACCAAACATAATGTAGTAGGTTTTGCCAGTGTTAAGTGTAAGTTTATTGGCTATCATCCAAGTCGATATTTTGAGCAGCTCCTCGTTAAACAATGGTGTTGAGGGTGGCAGATTAGGGTGTGAGATGACATAATGTCGTGTCGTCAGCAAAGAGAATGGGTTTCAGGTGTTGGAATATGTTTGGAAGATCATTGATGTAAATGAGGAAGAGCAGGGGTCCAAGGACACTTCCCTGCGGAACTCCAGTATCAAGTGGCCGTATTGATGAGCTGTGTCTTTAATGGTGACATACTGACACCTATTAGAAAGGTAGGATTTAACATATGCAAGCGCATGGCCTCATATACCATAGTGGTCAAGTTTGTGGAGTAGGTTGCCGTGGTCTACTGTGTCAAACGCTTTTCTTAGGTCAATAAAAATTAAATGTGGATATTCTTATTTTCCCAATGCTGTGTAAAGCAGGTCTAGCATTTTTATAATTGCATCATTAGTGTTTTTATTTTTCCTGAATCCAAATTGGCAGGGGTTGAGTATGTTTTGGGGACGTTATAAATGAATATAGACTCCTGTGCACGAGTTTCTCAAAGATTTTGGATAGCAATGGTAAGTTTGATATTGGCCTATAGTTGTTTACGTCTGTAGGGTCACCACCTTTATGCAAATTTGGGGTAATCCTTGCTGTCTTGAGTAGTGTCGGAAAAGTGCTAGTTTCTAGTGACTTGTTAAAAAGTAATGTAATAGCATGCGAAAGGACATTTGGGGCCCCTCGCTTGTACAATAATGGCGGGACGTGAGGACAGATTCCCCATGTTATTTTTAAGTGACTTTATGATCGCAGTGACTTCTGTGGACTCAGTTGGTACAAGATAGAAGGAATCTGGGAAATTCCCATCCAGGTAGTCCCCGGCACAGGTATTGGTATGTTGGATTTTACTGGCGAGATTAGATCCTATGTTTGAGAAGAAGTCATTTATCTTGTTAGCTGTGTCAGTGGGATGCAGTGGTGTTTCATGAGTTTAGTTAGAACAACATTCTTGTTTTTTTTCAGTTTGTGGATCCCCAGAATCTGGGGAAAGTGTTTTCCAGGTCTTTTTTATATCTCCTCTTGTGTCAGTGAATCTGCTGGAGTAGTACAGTTGTTTGGCTTTCTTTAAATTTGGTGAGAACTGTTGAATATTGTTTAAGAATATCTTTGTGTATTAAGCCCTGTCTATATTGCTTTTTATATTGGTGTTTCTTATCAATGGATTTCAGAATGGTGCTGGTTAGCATGGGCAACCAAGCCGTTTATTCGTGATGTTTCGTTTTTATAGGACAATGTTTGTTATATAGTCTAAGTATTTTGTTAAGAAAAATGTCTGTCCAATCGTCAATACCATTGGCATTGGAGGAATTTTGTAGGCAGTCAACAGTCTCTAGGTCTGCTGTGAAATTCCTTATTGAGGCCTCGTCATGGAGTCTAAATGAAACTTTGTTGTATTCGAGTGGTGGCTTACTAATGTTTAAGAGGAAGGTTGGGCAGTGGTCAGTAGTGCTGTCTGTGATTATCCCTGATTTAAGGAGCAGGGCATGGACCTAGTAGCGGCCAGTGAAGAGGGAGGGTCAGGAACTATGACTCTACTCCTGCAACCACAATTAGGTGAGCACCTAGAAAGGAATGAGCTTGTAAATGACAGCCAGCACCAGTTCAGGGACAGGAAATCCTGTGTCACAAACCCACTGGAGTTCTATGACAAAGTGACAGCAGTAAGGCAAAGAGGGGGTGGGTTGATTGCATTTTCTTGGACTGTAAGAAGGCGTTTGACACAGTTCCATGAAAGAGATTAGTGCAAAAGCTGGAGGACCAGGCAGGGATAACAGGTAAGACACTACAATGGATCAGGGAATACCTGTCAGGAAGACAACAGCGAGTCATGGTACGTGGCAAGGTGTCAGAGTGATCACTTGTAACAAGCGGGGGTCCACAGAGATCAATCCTACGATCGGTGCCGTTTCTGGTATTTTTGAATGACATGACAGAAGGAATAGACTCCAAAGTGTCCTGTTTGAGGATGATGTGAAGAATTCAATTGGACAAAGACCAGGCAGAACTGGAGGGATCTAGACAGGCTGCAGGCCTGGTCCAGCAACTGGCTCCTGGAGTTCAACCCCACCAAGCACAAAGTCATGAAGATTGAGGAAGACAAAGAAGATCACAGATGCAGTACAATCTAGGGGGCCAGAGCCTACAAACCTCACTCATGGAAAAGGATCTTGGGTGAATATAACACCAGGCCATCTCCTGAGGCGCACATCAACCAAATAACTGTTGCAGCATACGGGTGCTGGCAAACCTAAGACCAGCATTTTCGCATCTAAATAAGGAGTCATTCAGGACCCTGTACACTGTGTAAGTTAGGTCCATATTGGAGTATA